AGAGTATGAGAAATGAGAGGGCAGCCAGGGGACCAGTCCCATTGGGGCAAAAGCAGGAAGCGGGTTGGCTCATGTAAAAGGCGTCTGAAATTCTAACCTCTGCTGTATCACCATTTTTTTCTTATCTTTTTGGTAAACCCGTTACTATGTCTGTTGTCAGGTGATCTTCAAGACTTACTCCCTCCACCCGCCAGTGAGACAAATAATGAGGAGGAATAGGAGGAAGAACTGAATGTGGGAATGAAGTGATGGGAGAGACTCCACAAACAAAAAGTGAGAAGAAACAGTAAATGAGTAATAGTTCACTTTCAATGTGTTCTGATCACAGCCTGCAGGTCCTGGAGCCCCAATGCCTCATTCATACTGCATGGGCGTAGATAAGTCAGAGAGGGAGAAAGCGTTTAGTTCTTAAGAGGAGAGGCATTAAGAGCTAGGGGTGTAGGTGATGAAAGAAAGAGTTCTGAGAAAGAGAGAACGGAGAGCTCCTGACAAGGATGAACCCAGCACTTCTGTGATGCATCTGAATAACCCTAGTACCTTGAACTCTCTGGCACCAGAGGCTCCTCTCGCTTTCACCCTATTGTCAACATTTACTCATGGTGACCCCACTCCCCAAATTCTATTTGAATAATGCGTTCTGGTGCATTTGGGCTGAGATTTTAATTTTAGGCCTGTGGCCAAGGAGCAGAAGGAAACTGCAGCACAGGATACAAGAGAGTCTCTCTGTCTCTGTCTCTCTCTGTCTCTCTCTGTCTCTCTCTCTCTCTCTCACACACACACACACACACACACACACACACACACACATGCACGCATGCACACATGGAAGCACAGTAGGATATAAGACCTTTCTTTTTACCGGCAGATTTGTGTGATGACCACATTACAAGGAAGTGGCAACTTGGTGAACACATTTCAAGGCAAAAACAGGGACTAAGAATAATTTGTGGTTTTCAGATATTTTTGAAATTCAGCCCATGGTAAGAAATACATTTCATATTACAGCAGTACAGCCTTGAACAATTGAAGCACATTATCACACATGAAGAATTTAAATTTACAGAGTGTGATACTGTCTGATATATTATTTTACATTACATTTCAATTAAAAATATATTTATCAGAAGTAAACAACATGCTCCACAATCACGAATGGGTCAAATAAATCAAAAGGGACATTAGATAATATACTAATATAACTGAAATGAAAATACAATGTACAAAATTTGGAAGATAATTAAAGCGAAGCTTAGAGGAAAGTCTATAGATGTAAATATTTATATTAAAAAGGGATGATCTCAAGTCAGTAGTCTAAACTTACATGTGAAGACACTGAAAGAGGAAGAGCAAGTGAAATGTAAAGTAAGCAGAAGGAAGAAATGAATCAAGGTTGCAGGAGATATCAATGAAGATCAATGAGAAAAGAAAAAAAGAATAGAACACCAAAATTAAGATCATGAGAGATTAAAGAAACTGACAACTCCTTAGCTAGACCAGAGAGAGATAGAGATACAGAAGACACAAATAACTAAATTTAGAAATTAAAGAGGAGACATTACTACCATCCTCCCACATAAAACTATTTACAAAAGAATAATATGCAGAATGGCATGTTAATATAGTAGATAATGTACCTGAAATGGACAAATTCCTAGAAACAAACTGCAAAATCTGAGTCAAAATATAAATAATCATAATACACCTAGTACAGGTGAAGTGATTGTATTAACAATGAAAACCCACTACATACCAAGAAAAGATCATGTCCATAAACTTTAATTAGAAATACTATCAAATATTTGGAGATTTACCATCAACTGTTCCCAAATTCTCCCCAAGACAGATGTTGAAGAGCTGCTTTTCTGCTCATTGCCTGCATCAGTATTACCATGATACCGAGATTCTACAAAGACATTACAAGCAAAGAAAAATTCAGAAGAATGTATCTTATGACTATTGTTGCAAAATTAGGTAAAACCAGAAAAGTAAATAGAATCAAGCAACATATAAAAATAATTATACCCTGCGTCAATATTTCATATATCCCAGGACTACATGTTTGGTTAACAGAAAAAATTACATATTATGATACACTACATCAATAAAATAATAAACAAAACCACACGACATTTCAATAGATGGACAAATTTGACAAAGCCCAACATCCTTCTATGAAGAAAACATTCAACAAAGTAGGAAAAGAAGGGAACATCCTCAAACTGATGAAGAGCATGTGAAAACCCCCTGCTCAGACTGTTTTTAATGGTGAAAGTTCATATGCTTATTTTCTAAGATTAGGAGCAAGATAAACGATCCACTCTCACCACATCTTTTCATCATTTTACTAGACAGAGAAACTGGTGACAAGTAAATAAAAGGAATCTAGATTGGAAAGAAAGTATGATTTTCTGTATTTTCACTTGACATGTTCTTATGTAGAAAACCATAAGGAATTAATGAAAAACTGTGAGTTCTGAAAAGTAACAAAGGCAATATCAATATAAAAAAATCACTATTTATGTACACAAAAATAAATAGAAATATAAAATTGAAGAAACAATTCTAGTTACAATAGAATCAAAATAAAATCCT